GCAACATACCCTTGGGAAAAAGCACATTCAGCAAAACAGATTTCCTTCACCAGTCCAAGGGAAAGGAAAAACTGAAAGCATGAATCTCACAGCAGAAAGCGAACTCTAACTTTTACAGTAGCAGAAAGACAGCTGTATCATGCAGTTTCACTGCCAAACCCAACTTCAACAACCGAAAGCAAAAACAGGTCGAAACTGTTTGGTTTAAGATTTTTCTAACTGCCTTCTATTTTAGGTTTCTTGCTTTTTAAAAAAAAATCTTGTGTATTATTCATCAGTTCTGTTATTAAAGAAAACCTGTATACTTGGAAATTTTCATAACAAATTCCTGCAGTGATATCTTGATGCTGAGGTGACAGACGTCCAACAACCTCATTCTCGTGGCTAGGTATGACTGCAACCAATGAAGAGTCATTCCCCAGGTTCCCATTGACTCTAGTTTATCCAGAGTTCTTTGATGCCAAACTGTCAAATACTGGCCTGATGTCAAAAGCGGTCACTCTCAGCTTACCTCAAGTTCAGCTCTTCCATCCATGTTTGGATAAAAGCTGGAAAGAGGTCAGGAGAGTGCCCCTGTCAAAGCACAAACCGAGCATCAGTGAGCAGATATTTTATTGAAGTGTCACTTGATAATGCTGTTGGTTTTCCCTTCCATCACTGTGGGTGATGGAGAGGAGACAGAAAGAGCAGTAATTGGACAGGTCGGATTTGTCCTGCTTTTTGTGCACAGGACAATGTTCCATATTGTCTCATGGATATCCATGTTACGTCTGTACTAGAACAGGTAGTTCTGGAGCACAAGTCTTTGCACTATTGAACAATGTTGTCAAGGCCCATAGCTACTGTATTGAGTATCTTCAGCGATTTTGTGCTATCCTATGCAGTGAATTCAGTTGGATGCTGACTGGCATTTGTGACGCTGGGCACCTCTGGAGGAGTCTGAGATGAATCATCCACTCAGCACTCCTAGCTGAAAATGGATGCAAATGTATCAGCTTTGTCTTTTGCACTGATTGAGGATGGAGATATTTGTAGAGGTTCTACCTCCAGCAAGCTGTTTAAATACCTACTACCACTGATGATTGGACATGACTTGACTGCAGAACTTATAAGTGATCCACTGCTTGGGGGATCACTTAGCTCTGACTATGGGATGCTTCTGCCATTTTACATTGAAGTAGGTCCTATGCTTTGGCTTCACCAGGTTGACACCTCATTTTAGTTATGCCTGGTGCTGCTCCTGGCATGGCATCCTGCATTCTCTATTGAGCCAGGTTCAGTCTCCCAGCTTGATGGTAATGATAGAGTGGGGATATGCTAATCCACGAAGTTACAGATAATATTTGAATACAGTTCTGCAGATGATGGTGACCCCCAGCACCTCATGGATGCCCAGTCTTGGGTTGCTAGATCTGTTCAAAGTCTGTCCCATTTAGCACGGTGATAGTGCCACAAAACATGATGGAGGATATTCTCAATGTGAAGATGGGACATTATCTTCACAAGGACTGTGGATACTACAACGGAGAGATGCATTTGCAGCAGGTAGATTGGTGAGGGTGTGGTCACGTAAATTTTTCCCTCTTGCTGTTTCCCTCTCTTTCTGCCACAGACCCAGTGCGCAGTCATGTCCTTTAGTGTTCAGTCAGTGCTGTCAGTAGTAATGCCACCAAGTTAATCTTGGTGAAGTCCCCCACCCAGAGTACATTTTGTGTTCTTGCCACTCTCAGTGCTGCCTTTAAGATGTAATCAACATGGAGGGGTACAGATGCATCAGCTGAAGGGGTGGGATGAGCAGTAGGTAGTAATGAGCATGAGGTTTCCCTGTCATGTTTGACCTGATGCCATAATATTTAATGGGGTCCAGGGTTAATGATTTCCAGGAAATTTCCTTCCCAACAGTATACCACTGTGCCACATGCTAGGGTCACGATAGACCCAAGGGTGGTGATTGTGGTGTCTGGTATATTGCAGTGTATGATTTCATGAGGATTACTATGGCAGGGTATTCCTTGAATGGTCCGTGCAACAGCTTTCCCAATTTTACTGCAAGTCCCTAGATGTTAGTGATGGCAGACTTTGCAGTATCAACAGGACTGTATTTGCTGTCTTCATTTCCCATGCCTAGGTTGATGCAAGTGATTCATTTGGTTTCAATCCTTTGTCTACAAGTTCCTTGCAGCTTGATACAACTGAGTGCATTGCTAGGCCCTTTCAGAAGGCAGTTAAAAGTCAACCACATCACTGTGTGTCCTGAGTTACAGATCGATCAGATCTCAGAAGGATGACAGATTTATTTCCCTCAAAAAAGTACTTGCAGGACTATGCTGAGTCTTTGAACGCTATTGCAGAAAATACGGAGGCATGGGATTGAGGGTGATTTAGCGGTTTGGATCAGAAATTGGCTAGCTGTAAGAAGACAGAGGGTGGTGGTTGATGGGAAATGTTCATCCTGGAGTTCAGTTACTAGTGGTGTACCTCAAGGATCTGTATTGGGGCCACTGCTGTTTGTCATTTTTATAAATGACCTGGATGAGGGTGTAGAAGGATGGGTTAGTAAATTTGCGGATGACACCAAAGTCGGTGGAGTTGTGGATACTGCGGAAGGATGTGCAGGTTACAGAGGGACATAGATAAGCTGCAGAGCTGGGCTGAGAGGTGGCAAATGGAGTTTAATGCGGAAAAGTGTGAGGTGATTCACTTTGGAAGGAGTAACAGGAATACAGAGTACTGGGCTAATGGTAAGATTCTTGGTAGTGTGGATGAGCGGAGAGATCCCGGTGTCCATGTGCATAGATCAATGAAAGTTGCCACCCAGGTTGATAGCGTTGTTAAGAAGGCATACGGTATGTTAGGTTTTATTGGTAGGGGGATTGAGTTTTGGAGTCTTGAGGTCATGTTGCAGCTGTACAAAACTCTGGTGCGGCCGCACTTGGAGTATTGCGTACAGTTCTGGTCACCGCATTATAGGAAGGATGTGGAAGCATTGGAAAGGGTGCAGAGGAGATTTACCAGGATGTTGCCTGGTATGGAGGGAAGGTCTTATGAGGAAAGGCTGAGGGTCTTGAGGCTGTTTTCGTTAGAGAGAAGAAGGTTAAGAGGTGACTTGATAGAGACATACAAGATGATCAGAGGATTAGACAGGGTGGACAGTGGGAGCCTTTTTCCTCGGATGGCGATGGCTAGCACAAGGGGACATAGCTTTAAATTGAGGGGTGATAGATATAGGACAGATGTCAGAGGTAGGTTCTTTACTCAGAGAGTAGTAAGGGCGTGGAATGCCCTGCCTGCAAAAGTAATAGACTCGCCAACTTTAAGGGCATTTAAATGGTCATTGGATAAACATATGGATGATAATGGAATAGTTTAGGTTAGATGGGCTTCAGATTGGTTTCACAGGTCAGCGCAACATCGAGGGCCGAAGGGCCTGTACTGCACTGTAATGTTCTATGTTCTATGTTGTCTCAAAAGGTGGTTGAAGAAGAGTCTTTGAGGCAGACATAGATGGGTTCTTCATAAACATGGGGAAGGAACATTATGGAGGAAAGGTGGGAATGTGAAGTAATCAGATCAGCCATGATCTTAGCGGCAGAACACAATTATGGGGCCAAGTGCCCCACCCTGGTCCTAACGCATGTGCTCATGTCCTTTTAGTAGGTTGCTCTGACTGACTGTTCCCACCAACCCGAGACTCTAGGCCCTTTCCACTTCACACCACCAAGTCCTAACCCTATGCTGTGTGATGTGTTCTTTTGTGCTGTTATGTGAAATTTGGTAACATGAATACTGAGACTGGATTCTTATTGAGAACAAACAGACACTGGAATGATTGGGCCCGAGCTGCTTGTAATTCATCAGGGAAGTTATTCAGTCCATGTATAACAGTCACCATTCAAGCTGGAGGTGATACATTTATACAAGAACATCACATGACATTACATCACACTGCTGTCAACACTTGATTCCCTTAAAGGTGCATACTTATCTGATCATAGATATATGCAATATCATGGCATTGTGTTTCCTTGGCTCCCCTTTCCATTCCTCCATACTACGGAACCCCAACCCTTCCCTTCCACTTACGCCTTGCTCACTAAAGACATGTCCTTTCCAGTCCTGAGTCTCCATGCAAGCTGCTATTATTCTGCCCCCCACCCTGCCTTTCATGTGCCACAGAGTTTAACAAGGCAAACTGTTGAACCTCAGACAAACCTGCACAATTACACACGTACTCTGAGGCGATCTTGGTGCCTCAACAATCTTATTCGCCGCTGACATTACCTTGACAGTATGACATAATTTTTAAAAAATGTTAATAAGTATTCATGGCATTGCAAAGAATTACAAGCACAAATCTACCATAGAACAGCATGAGGCTCAACACATCACAAAAACACTGCAAGCTTAATCTCTGCATCTCAATCTGCTGACAGACATGAAAATCTCGTATTCCACCAAATTCGGTCAACCACACGCTGCGCTTAAAGGCTCCATATAATCAAACCCTCCTTATTTAGTTGGATCAATCACATATACATAATCAATAAATTCTGTTTAATTCAATGCTCCATCAAATATCTTGTGCTTTCTTTAAACATGTTGTTGTGAGCCAGGGAAGAACAGAAGTTGATTGAATGGTAATCTGCATTAAATTGCATCAGCCAAGCTTCTGAACATTACACCAATTTATGTCCTCCTGAGGGCTGTGATTATCCTTCTCATTCTTCACTATATTTCCAGTTTGTAATTTGCACAGTTGAAGAAAGGCCCCCTACAGTCCAGGTCATTAATGCATATCAAAAGTTCAGTGGTTCGAATACCTGAAATATAGAAATAGTGGGAAAGAACAGAGTGGTGGTACTAATTATCCAGCATCCCACAGCAGGTGCAAATATAATGGGCTGAATGACTTCCTGCTGCATTGTGAATGTTTGTGCTAAGAGGCTGGAAGTACAAGAATCTCAGATTTGAGCACGCAAATGTAAAGAAGCTTGACTCACCATTCTGCATAAGACGTGCTCTGCCTTCTGACAGAGAGCCAGTTCCTTTCTCAGGTTTCCAAAAGCTTACATCCTTTTTAGAATTCGAGATGAAACTCGTTCTCCAGTCTTTTTTGTTTTCTTCATTTTCCTTTTCCTGTGACGCCATTTGTTCTCTGTAAATCCGAAGCCCTTTCTTCTCAAGAGCTGCCTGGGCCTCTGCTCTTTCCTTTTCTTCAGCTTCTTTTCTAGCTTTTTCTTCAGTATCTAATAAAACAAACAAAATATAGCGGCATTGTTAGAGCATTTGTGAACATTATTTACTTATCAAATATTAACTTATTTTAACCATAAAGTCATAATTGCACCCATTTATGCTGTACCTTTGTTCCTACATTTCTCAGTCTCTCTGTAGGTGGCGTTCATGTTAAGAAACTCTGTCCAGGTTGTGTTGATACTATGGCTTTGAGAGGTGCATTTTATCCTTTTATTTTGAAGAGAGGGTTTAAGACCAAGGCATCAAGCTGTCTATTCGAAACCAATAAAGTAAACTGCTTGTGAGGCCTTGTGTTATTTTTTTAAAGTTGTAACAATAGAAGCAGCATGAATGGATGGGCTCAAGCTTCCACAGAACGAGGGTTTTAGTTTAGCTTCCCGCAGTTGTTGGTGTTTTTAAGTTAGCTCTTTTTCTCTAACAGAATTTTCTCTCTGCTACCAGAACCACATGTGAGACAATCCAGTTTTTTTGAATTTGCCTTTGCAGAGTGTCTATTTATGGATGTTACAGTGTTGGAACAGTTGCTGTTTAGTAGTTAAATAATCTATTATTCTGTTAGGTTTTCTAATAGAGTTAAAGCTTTACCAGTTCTTCTTTCTTTTGTTTCTATTTTAATTGTAGGGTAAGATTAAAGTGTGTTTTGCTTAAAGCCAAGTAGTGTAATGAATCGAATTACATCTGGAACACAGCACCTTACACTTGCCTTTAAATAGGATCAAAGTTAGGGTCTAGGCTATCTCCTTGATATATTTGAAGTGGGTGTGGACTGGTTCACAATATAGTGAATTAATAATAAACTAAAAATCTTTTTTCCCCATGTCACAATCAAAGAACACTAACGTTTGTTGCGGGGGCATCAGAAATGGGGTGAGTGGGAATTGCACTCTATTGCTAACTCCGGGTAATTTTACCACCACAGGTAAATTTGCGTAAGTTCCACTTGCTGCTTCCATCCAGTGTTTCTGTGGAGATTTGGTCCTGGTTTCTGGTAGCAAGTCAGGTGTGGAGCTGGGACAATGCCCAATTTTGCAAAAAACACCTAGGAGAAATTACCCATTTTGATTCTGTGAATCTTCAGTTCTCTGAGAGTCTGGCAAGGCAAACTTGGACCAAATGTGGAGGCTGCTGAATGTGAAGGCAGGTTGGAAAGAAGGCCCACTGCATTGAATTACACAAACTCAAACTCACAGCCTCAGCACAGACTCGACTCTTGCCCTCAGCAAGGCCATATTTTGGTCCAGCATGGCAATCTCTTGGACCAGCATGGCAATCTCTTTTGACAAACCATCTGGGCTGAGAGGACGACAAGATAAGAGATTGCTACGCTGGGCCAAGAGATTGCCACGCTGGGCCAAGAGATGGCCACGCTGGGCCAAGAGATTGCCACGCTGGGCCAAGAGATGGCCACACTGGGCCAAGAGATTGCCACGCTGGGCCAAGAGATTGCCATGCTGGGCCAAGAGATGGCCATGCTAGGCCAAGAGATTGCCATGCTGGGCCAAGAGACGGCCATATGAAATCTCTTCTTCTTGAGGACAAATTGGCCCTATCCACGGATCAAACCCTGATAAGCCATTGGCAATGAAAACCTCCTGGCTGATTTACACATATTAGAACTAGCAAGGGTTGATCTGTCATAAATGTATCCTGCTTAACTGAGCAGACAACAAGGTACTCCTCCTAAAGTTGACAGTGTCTCTGTTAACATACACATGTTGGATCCTGGTATTACCATCTGAACTGAAATGCAATTTTTAACTACGAGGCTGGAGGAATGGCCAAAGTAACAAGGAAATTAATCAGGACTAGGAGAAGCCAAATTTTCAATGTTGTTTTCTCCTGGTGGTATTGGCAAAATTGGGAACGTTTCCTGTGGCTCACTTGGAAAAGATTTCTTTGACTACTTTAAGGTGGCAAATTCACACTTCCTGTTGGGCAGAATAACTTCCAGAAAATACTTGTAAAACTTTGTGTATGCCTGGTTCAATAGCAGTAGGACAGATGGACACTGCTCCTGATGGACTGACTGACACCAATAGTTTCAGGACTTCACTTGAGCTGGCAAACTCTTAGACAGAACAGTCAGCTGCAATTCCTGAGCGTGAAAGTAAACGTTAATTGTGTGAAATCAGCTTGCAACAAGATCTCAGTACTTCAGTTGTACATTATATATGATAGTGAATTAAGTTTGATATGTCACTAAGTAGTAAATGCATTCACCATCCACTTACCTTTTGCATGTAATGCTTTCCATTTTTCACGGTTTTGTTGCAATATTTCACTCCAGATACTTTTAAAGTTCTTCATATCCACAGCAAGCAGGGAAGAATTCATAGAAGAATTTCCTTCAGACAGTATATTTTTCAAGTTTGTCCGTTTCACTTCAGTAGATGAAATACTGTGCACACTGGACATATGAAAATGACTAGGTTAATATTAGATTCCAGTAAACATACTGGCCTGACATTTATGACAAATGTTGAAGAGTACAGTTGAGGCATAAAATGACCAAAGGTACTGCCATACTTAATATATAGTACTGGTTGCTAGGTAGGGTGTAACAAGAATGGCAGGAGGCCTGTTGAGACAGAACTTAGAACCAATAAAAATTTAAGGGAAAGGCCGGTGATCAAAGCTGGAGGCAATAGCCTGCTGTCAGAGTTGGAGGAGGGGTGGGGGTACGGGGTGGGCACTGGCCTAAGTTTGGGAGAGGAGTGAGGGAGATGTTGCAGTTGAGTCTGGAGAGGGAGGCTCAGGATTAGAAGCAGAAACACTGAAAAATTCCTTGAAGGGTTTGGGCTGAACACTCTGTTTTGCCTGGACTATCAGAAGGACTGTTTAAAAAAAGGAACCTGGAGCTCCCACTTTAACTTCACTGTTGTGTTAGCTAGCACAGCGGGAAGTTCTAAATCTGTCTTCCAGCTACTGTGGAGGACCCTGATTTGAAATATGTCGATGGGTGTTCTGTCTTCACGGTGGGGCCTGGGAAAGGCTTACAATTCATTGTCTTTGAAAATGGTGGTAAATGCCTGATTTATGGGGTAAGGTTTCCCATGCATAACTCCTTAATCCACTGAACCTCTCCTGCTTGTTGTGTGGTCGGAAGTGTTAATATTGAGGCCAATGATTTAGAAATGAGCTATTAAGCTTGTGCTATGGCTTAGAAATCAAGTGTTATATGAATGTGTGAGAACAGATTGGTGAATAGAATTGCTGTGATTAATAACAAGCTCTACAAAATATAACTCAGTTTTAGAATGAAGATGCCTCATGTTAAATTATGCTTCATTTTGCTTATTGTTGATAGTGCATAACTTAAACTCTTTTATAGAGTTATGTCACTATAAGCATTACCAAATTTTTTTTTTTAAGAATGTGATCCAATGTTAGTTTGCAAATACTCAGTCTCGAACAGATTTGACTGATGTTGATCAAGTCACTTAAATGCGCTCAGTCTTCATTCACACGCAGGCAAGTGGGACACTGCTAGAAATTTACTGGGCATTAATTTGGAGCTCCCTTTTCAGATGGAGATAAAGAAAAATTTTTTCTCTGAGGACTTTTGGTGCTTAGAATTCTCTTCCCCAATGAGCAGTGGAAGCTAGGTCATTGAATTTACTCAAGGCTGAGTGAGACAGATTTTTGATTGCCAAGGAAGTCAAATTTTATGAAGCAGTCAGGAGAGTGAGGTTAGGCCACAATTAGATCAGGGAGATCTCATTCAATTTCAGAGCAGGCTCAAAAGCCCAAACAGCCTCCTCCTGCTCCTCTTTTCCTATGTTCTCATGTCTACGCACCATGATTTTCACTGATGGGTAAGCCTCAATTTTAAATAATATTCTGTGTTTGTGCAGGGTCTGGCTAAATAACTGACCCATGTCTCAAAGCCACTTGGGTTCGTACCCAAACTCAGCAGGAACCTCTGCCTTACAGGGAGGCTGCTTGCTCCTTTAAAGCAATAAGAAAACGCCACGATGTTTCTAATTTACCTTGCTGAAATACAGTCCTCCACGGGGTTAATTTGCCAGATGTTCACCATTGCAAACCCATTTACATCTCAATTTAAACTGGGACCCCAGTGGTAAATCAGAGTCCAATCTGGTTATTTAAACAGGGCCGAACAGTTTGAGGCAGACGTCCTGGGTGCTTTCATTTAAAAATCAGTCAGATCAGGGTGGAAGTTCCCCCATTCCACTTTAACTGTCCCTTTCCATGCCTGCGTTCATCCTTTGTCCCCAGTTCCACACTCTTGATGACAGCAGTTCCTAAGAGTGCAGAATCATGCTCCTTTAAATTGAACGCCTGTTAATGGTTCATTTTACCAAATTCAGCAGTAATTTGGGAGAGTGGCTTGTAAGGGAAGGAATACCCTTCTGTTTCATCAGCCAGGAGATCATTTATAAAAGTGAACAGCTCTTGAAATATTGCCAACTATTGGGGTGACTGGATGACTCAAATCTTAGTTTCTGACTAACCTGGCTCGCCGAAATCCACTGGCACTGGAGCGGGACGCTTCTTCAATGAGGGGGGTCACAATCTTTTCGGTCATGTCAGTCAAAACGGAAAATGTTGGCTCCACAATAAAGTCAATGAAACCTGGAAAAATCATGGCAATTATGTCAGAAATAAGGAATGCTTCTTAAACACCTGCAAATTGAGTAAATCTTCAATTCTTGCACCTGGCACGAATGTGTTTTGTTTTAAGAATCAGAATCACTGAATAAATGTCATTATCATGATTGTATGTTCATGATGGCAAGAGAGACATTAATCATTCCTTCCTCCAGAGATTCAATTATCTACAGTACAGTTTAGTTCAGAGTTGATGTAGCAAGGTGGTATTTTGCTTGTTGTTAAGAGAACATAGAATTTCATATCTAGTCGCATTAGTTAAAAATGGGACTGTTGGAAGCTTGTGTTTTAGAATCAAAGCTACTATATTGTGTCTACTGATGACTTATTTCTTTTAAATGTACGTTGGAGATGTGACATTATAATAGAGAAAACATGAACAGCTGTTAATGAATTCAGAATTTTCTCATTCAGATCCCACTTCTGCTTAATGGGAGCAAACCTAGAGTGTAGTCAATGATAGGTTTCATTACAGTGATGTTACCACTGAATTAGTCACCAATTTTTTTGCTCTTGCTTCCCATGCATTGAGTGTGGTATTGTAGATGGTGTCTCCTAGAATGTTCCATTTTGCTTCTGCACTCTATGTGGGAATGAGAGAGTGCCTGTGCGAATGCATCACAGAAGTGGGTAGGCGGTATAGCTGATTTAATATGAGGACAGCTTTTGTGCTTTCAGTTAAAAAATAAATTAAGGGCTGCATCCACACACCATGGTGTGATCTGTATCACTGTGAACATTCAAAGATAGAAAATATTGCATGGGAATTCTAGCACATGATCTGAAGTTATTTAAAAGTCCTCAGACATTTCAATTTGAAAAAGCCTGCAACTTTCCCTGAGAGAAAAAAATGAGATAACTGCTTTTATTGACAAGCTATTTGCTATAGATTAGGAAAATGACTATTATTCTTGCAGTTTCAACAGGCATCACTGTCTATCAGCAGTACTGGCTTGTTTTAACAGCTGAAGATATTATTAACTATTTTAAAAAGATTGTTCATGGCATATATTGCCCATCCCTAATTACCTTAAAAGTGGTTTTCTTGAGCTGCCATAGTTTTTGGTGTGTAGGGACACCCACTGTGCTGCTGGGATTTTGATGAAACAACAGTGAGGGAATGTCAGGTTCGTACGTCGCTAGGAGGAGAATGAGCAGGTAATAGTGTTCCCATGCATCTGCTGCCACTGTGGTAACGGTCACATGTTTGAATGGGGCTTGCGAAGGAGCAGTACATCTTGAATTGATGCAGTACATCTTGTAAATGAATACTCACTGCTGCATTATATGTCAATGGTGAAGGGAGTCAATGTTAAAGGTGGCAGAGAGGGTGTCAATTAAACAAACTGGTCTGTCCTGGATGGTGTGTTGAGATTGTTGAGTGTTGTTGGATCTGCATCCATGTGTACAGGTTGAAAGTGCAACACTTCTGCTTTGTAAATAGGGGACAGCTATTGGGGAGACACGAGGTGAGTTACTTTCCACAGAATTCCAAGCCTCTGACCTGCTCTTTTTATACGCTGATCCAGTTCAGTTTCTGGTCAATGATAATCTCCAGAATGTTCTTAGTGAGGGATTCAGCTATGGTGATAGCATTAAATATCAAGATTCTCTGTTGTTAGAGATGTTCTTTGCCTGGTATTTGTATGGCACAAACGTTACTTACCACTTATCAGCATAAATCTGAATGTTGTCCAAATTTTACCGTACATGGACAAGGTCAGCTTCATTATCTGAGGAGTCATGAATTATGATGAACATTGTGCAACCATTGGTGACCAGATGCACTTCTGACAGTATGATGGAGGGAAAGTCATTGACAAAGCAGCTGCAGATGGTTGGGCCTGAGATATTACCATGAAGAACTCCTGTAGTGCTGTCCTGAAGCTGAGACGATTGACTTCCAACAACTACAACCATTTACCTTAGCTCTAATTATGATTCCATTTTGCAGAGAGTTTACCTCTGATTTCCATTGACTCGAATTTTCTGGGGCTCCTTGAGGATATAGTCTGTCAAATGTTGCCTTGATATCAAAGACAGTCATGAGCCTGTCACTTCTGAAGCTCAGCTCTTATGTTTGGACCAAGGCTATAAAATGGGCTCAGGAGCTGCCAAACCCCAGATTAAGCATTAGTGAGCAGGTTATTCCTTTCCATGTACCATTTGGTAGCCCTTTTGACAACTGCTTCCATCACTTTATTGATGATCGAGAATAGACTGATGTGGTGGGAACTGGCCAGCTTGGCTTCATCCTGCTTTTCATTCACAGGAATAGAAGTTTGCTTTTAAATACATTGTATTTTTCATTAGTCAGGATTGCTTAAAATTAAGATTTGATGCATTTTTGACCATAGTTTGCTTGTAAACTTTCACTTTAAAGTGTTACCCTTGTTATATCATGGCTCTGAAGGGCAGTACATAGTGGATAGAGAGAGACTGGCTATGTGGGGCAACGCAGAGGAGAGATGTGAGTATGAGGGGAAGGGGGTGCGAGTGGTAAGGTCTAGGGAGGATAAGAATGACATGGCGATTTAGTTTGATGTCACAGTGAACTAAATCCAGCCTTCTAATGAGCCTTGGCTCAAAGACTTGACTGACACTATCTCAGGACTCAGAAAAAACAGAAATTTAAACTGCCAAGCATCCAGGGAAATGAAAATACGGTGGGTATGACTGACTTGTCATGGTAGGTCAAATGCAGCAGTCACAGTAGACAGTTACAGAATGAAGATATCATGAAGGTTTACAGGAGAACTCAGCATTCGCCTCCTGAGGCCCAAACTGCTATCATAAACAAGCTGCATATTGAAGCACTAGAATCAGGACAGTGGCACGTTATGAAAAACCGTACATTCCAAACAATTCTTTTTGCTCAGGGTCACTCTGCCTGCCTGTATCTGGCTAGAGACAGTGAGATAATGCTAGCCCTTACTTATGATCTGGAATTATTACATGTTGTGCAATGATACTCAGCACCAGGCTCGAAGGAGCCAAACATACAAAAATTTTAAAAGTTATAATCACTTTGGTAGTTACAAATGATGAAGTCCTTGCCCTATTATAAGGTTATGGCTGTAGCCATTGGTAGATTCTGTTCTCTTCCTCTTCAGTGAAACAAAGAAGGGGAGGCCATTCAGCTCACTGAGTGCATTCACCCCTCGTACAGTAATCCAGTCAATCACATTCTTACGCTGCAGGTTTACTAGTTCTGCAAGTTTACTTCCCCAAATATACTGAATTTCCTTTGGAAATCATTAAGCATCCCTGCATCCACCACTCCCATAGGCCACACGTTCTCCTCAGGGTTGGAGTGGGAGGAGAGGAATCCTGTTGTCAGGGATTAATGGTAATGATAGGATTGAAGAGGAAGTTCCGCTGCAAAATTATGAATGGTCAAGACCTAGAGTAATAAACCAAAACTTCAAGCTGATAATCTCGGGATTAATACCTGAGCCATGGACAAACTGGCTCAGGGCAAACAAAGTAAGGAACTGAATGTGTGGCTAAAAGATTGGAGTGAGAGGAATGGTTTTCGGTTCAGGGGCACTGACCCTGTTATTGGGATAGAAGGGAGCTGTTCTGTTAGAACAGGCTTCACTTAAATTATGCTAAGAACAGTCTCCTCGCAATGTAAATAACTAAAGCTGGAAAGAGGGCTTTTAACTAATTAGACAGGGATTACAGGGTAGGGGGGCTGTGCTCAGGAGGGGTTATATTTAGTTTTATAAAGTAAAAGGATATAGTGGCATTGCAGAACAATTATTCTGATAATGAACAGAATGTACAAGAACAGAAACAGAATGTACAAGCATAAAAAGACAACAGCAGATAGAATCAAAGAGAAAAAATTGTAAACGGGCAAAATTAGTAGCTTTTTACTTACATGCATGTAGTATTCAAAACAAAAATGAGTGGCACAAAAAGAGGTTAATGGATACATTTTCATAGGTGATCATGGACTAGAAGGAGATCAACTTTTGGAATTAAATAGTCAAGGATATGTAAATTTTTGAAAAGACAGACAGAAAGGGAAAGAGTGATAGGATAGTTTTATTACTACAAAATGGAATAAGTATAATAGCAAGAAGCAATCTTGGATTCGATAGTGTAGAATCCGTGTGGGTTGAAGTAAGAAATAAGAAAGGAAAGACACTAGTAGGTCAAGTCTATAATGTAACAGTAAATATACTATAGGACAGAGAGTGATTCAGGAGACAATGAGAACATGTGAAAATGGCAGCATTATTCATGGGTGACATTAACCTTCATATGGGCTGGGAAACCAAATTAGCCAAGGTATCCAAGAGGAAGAATTCATAGAGTGTATTCGGAACGGATGCCTAGAACAATAGATCGCATCAGAAACTAGGCTAATTTGGATCTGGCAACATAAAATGAGTTAGGTTTATTAAATGACTTCAGAGTAAAAGATCCCTAGAAAACAGTGATCCTACCATGGTAAAGCTCGGAATTCAGTTTGAGAGTGAGAAACTTGGGTTAGAAACAACTGTACTAAAATTAAACAAGGGTAATGATATAAGAATGAAGGCTGTGTTGGCTGAAATGGACTGGGAAAATAATTTAACAGAAAAATGGGTGAGGAACAATGGCAGACATTTAAGAAAATAGCTCATAACTCAGAGCAAATATATATTCCATTGAAAAAGAAGGATTTTAAGGGGATAAACTGACCATGGCTAACCAAAGAAGTTAAGGATAGTATGAAATTGAAAGAAAGAAACACATAATATGACGAGCAGGTGAGCCAGCAAACATAAGCATGAATCAAGCAAAGAGAGGACACACCTCATCTTTACGACATCAACTATCATATGCAGATAAGTTTCTCCAAAAATCAGGTATTTCAGTGAATAGTTGGGTGAGTGGGTGGCTGGATGAATGAATGGATGGAACAGAGAGAAATTGGATGAGTGGGCAGTGGGATGGGAGTAGACGGTGTGTGTGTGGTGAGAGGTTTCAGGTCACTGGGGGTAGTGGTAAGGGAAAGAGCTGGTTTAGAGGATCTTAACAGTTGGTAGTAAGGTTGAGAAGGTTGTTGGTGCAAGAGTGAGTTAGTTAGCAGTCCAGGTCAGTACTGTATCCCAGGTGAAAAGAAACATCTAGCCATGCAGCAAGGATTGTCAGAGATCCTTGAACCATGACATTCAGGACTATAACCACAGCAATCACCCTGTGAACAGATAATCTGTGGGCAATATCAAAAAAGATAACTCAAGTATATTGAATGAACTCCTCAGTCTTCACATTCATCAGTACAGCATGATAATATGCCTTAACACATTGTAGCATCTGTACCTCATCTAGTATTTCCCAACAGGCTTTCATGTTAGGAAATGCTATCTGCTCATTCGCATTGAGGCTCCTGGATGCTATACACAGCTTGTCCTCAAACCAGTCTGCAATTACCAGATCACTGGGTGTTTCTCACCTTCCCCTGAATTTGTCTGCTTTCATGCTCATTGGCAAATAGAATATCTGACCTGGCATACCACATCCTTCCTCCATAGTAGCAAGGAATGCACACAGGGAGCCTTTGCCTGGGTTTGGCCTAAAGGTCCAATTCCCTCTGGCAAAACCAAAACTGCCAAAGATTCCAAAGCTGCTTGAGTCTTCTTCATGGACAGTGCCAGTTTCAACTGCTCCACTGTTTGCTCTGACTTGGCCAAATGCCTTTGAATATCATCCATCCTGATTTGTTGTCTGCGCTGTGAAATCTTGTTGACTACACCAAGAATATAACATGTGATTTGGACACACAGAAGGCCCAAAGATCATGAAACAGAGATTCTGTATTACACTGGCATCAGGTCATTAAAAACAGCAAGGAAAACTAAGAATAAACAAGAAACTGTTTACACAATGTGGATGGACTGATGATGTGGGTTACATAGGACTGAGGAATTTCTTTCTCTGTCTGCTCCCTGTTCACCAAACACACTCTTTCTTTTCCAGCAAAGTCCATTCCAATGGTCTAGCTGCCTTCCCTCACTGTGTCTACCTGCTCCTGGAAATCCTATCATACTTCTACCTCCTAACATGGACATTTCATTAATTAATCATAATCACATGTCCATGTTTATATCTTCTGTTTCTGACCAGAGGTAGCCACTGTCGACGTTAATTTAACCAACTGCTAAGAAATATATGAGAACACTCTGGCTTTTCCTTCCCTCACTGAGGGAGTCTAGTCAACTGTAATATAACTGAGATTCAGCATATTTCTCATGAGAAATACAAGTACAAATTCACATTTCCTTGAAGTGGCAGTGCATAGCTTGTGTTCTGCCTCACGTTTAATTTCCATTTATAGGGGCCAAATGGAGGTTAGCACAATCCAATCAGCCAAATGGCTGAAGAAGTGGGATCTAAATTTGGTACACCTATATCTTTGAAATCCATAAATTGCAAGTTTCGATAAAATTATGGTAGCCCTAAATTTGTGGAACCCATCTTATTGCTGGAATTCTAAACAATATCAACTCCTGAGGAGGGGAAAAGAAGTTTCGTAGAGGTGCTCCAGACTTAGGAATTTTTTTTTATATATTGTTGCATGTGATGTAGGCATAGCTGGCAAGGCCAGCATTTATTACCCGTGAAAACAACAAAATGCTGGAGATCACAGCAGGTCAGGCAGCATCCATGGACAGAAAGCAAGCTAACGTTTTGAGTCTAGATGACTCTTCATCAGAGTGCCCACCCTTCAAACTGACTGGTTCTCAAGGCCATTTTAGAGAGTCGTTAAGAATCAACAAGGATACTATGGATTTGGGCTTACTTGTCAGACTGGGTAAAGGTGGCACAAACCCTTCCGTTAAGGACATGAGTGAACCAGGTTTTTATTTTTAAATGACAATCAGAGGGATGGTCACTATTAGGCTAGAATTCAACTCCAGATTTCTTTTTAACTATGATACAGTTGTTTTGGATGCATGAACACAGAGTATTTTGTGAGGAGCTCTGGATTGCTATCCAGTGAGAATATCACTATATCACAGCCTCTCCTGTGATCCAATTACATGGCTTCAAAGGAAAGTTGGTGCAAGTTCAATTGAGGCCTTTGAAAAGGCCCCAGATTCTGGTGAAATCAAATCAACCTTAGAGGTAATCGACCTGTTAATTTATTTTTACAGGGCTACTTTCATATCTGCAATGGTTCTCATCTGATCCTTTCATTCAGTCAAAAAAGTATCCTGAATATATCACCGGATGAGTGTTACCATTTAACATGATCTTAAAGAATCCTAGAGACTGATGGAACGAGGGAACAAGTGATGGGTACGTCAAAGTTTTTGAGAAGGTTTGTAGCTCAGGTTGTGGATGAGGTTGTAGACTTGCTCGCCAAACCGGTGGGTTTGGTTGCAGCTGTTCTGTCACCCTGCTAGGTAATGGTGATGGGTACGTTAGTTTTGGGTTAATTGGGTGTGAATTAGTTGTTTAAATATGGGGAGTTAGTATAATCAGTGAGATGAGCCCTCCTTGTCTCTCTACCTTACCACACCCTTAGTGGTCCACATTGCCCTTAGCAGATTTTGCATGTACATTACCCAATCAGAAAACATGGGTGGTTTACTGGTGATGGCTAATAGGTATAAAGATGGCACAGGTTATTTTGGTGATGGGAAAAATAAACATTCAGTTGTATGACCGATATAAAATGTCTGGGTATTAAAAAAAAGTAATGAGTGGGGTGAGAATTTCAGAGTGTGGATAAATAAAAGAGCTTTCACTACAAGTGTGGACTTAGGCTCTGTTTAAAAATAGTTATCTTCTAGTATATAACAATAAGCGATAACCGACAAACAAATAAAAATTGTCAGAAACTTGAAGGAAATTATGGAATACTCCATTACTTAAAGTAGCAAACTTAAATAGTAATCCTACGATAAAACCATTTCACTTGCCAAAACATCTTACAAAGCTGACCAACATATATCAATTATTAATTTTCAGTATGGACTTCAGTGAGGATCAAGGTCCATGATTACATAACAATAGCCAATATCTTCCAGTCTCTGGACAGATGGAGATCAGATATAACACCTACAAACATGTTGGGATCTCTCAAATATCCTGAGGCAATGACTACATTGCAACTACGCAGGAAGTTTAGAATTCCAATGGACAATTACCTTAGGTCTAGTGCCCTCCAAAAAAATCTCTAACTCTGAGTCAGTGACATCCAACACACTCAGGCTAAGCACTTCAGAGTGTTGTGAACGTGCATACAAGAATTGTCATCCATAAAATTTAATTGGCAGAAAATTCTGGGCTGTCAACACACAATGTGTTTTCCATTCTTCATTGGGAGTACTGACCCGACACATTTTTTTCTCCAAATGTGGTGTCATGAAGTTTTGGGGGTCGGTTTAGCTCAGGAGGCTGGATAATTGGTTTGCAATGCAGAGTGACACCAACAGCACGGGTTTACCAAGAAGGATTCTCCTCTCAACCTTTTCCACCACCTGAGACGTGACTAGGACATGGAAAGACACCACCAGTCATCTGTCTCTCTAATGAGAGAGCTGCCCTATGGTGTGGTAAGACTATGATGGCTTTGTCTTTGCCTTTTACACAAAGTTTCTTTATTTTCTACTTTAATGGAGAGTCATTTCAAAGAAGTATGCAAATCCTTTGAAGTAAGAGGAAGATAAATTTAGATCGAGAATATTAAATATTTTTGTCAAAGTAAAAGTCTAAGAAATGTGCATTACAAAAAATTACTTGTCAGGGAGCAGCAGCATTTCTTCCCAGCTTTGCATTACCCTATCAACAGCTACAGTGAACAGTGGTAAATTGCATAAACTTGTAGATAAACAATCTGTGAATAACACACATGCCATGAAAAAAGTATACAAGCTCTGAACAAGCCAACATTATAACATTTCTATTCTGCAAATTCTGGCTCATAGCAGTGCATATTTTTATTCCCCACTTCAGGTGAATTGCTGTGTCTTTTTTTTTGTCATTAATATAATAAATATTAGTTTTTAGTTACGCCAGTAGATTGTTTTCAAACATCAATACAATATGGAGGAACCACAGGGGAATTCTTGTCAATTATTGTTCCATTTCTCTCATAGAGAGATATTCACATAAACTTGGAATCTGGTCGAAAACCAGCCCAGGCTCTTGTTTTCTATTTGGAAAATAGTTAGTTGTAGAAATGGAGTTGAATTTCCTGATGATCAACTTTCCAATAAAAGCAGGTCTTATATATGACATTATGCTTTAAGCTGCTTCATGTTAATTTGACCATAGATTGTTAAATGAATTCTCTTTGATAAAGATATACTTGTACTTGAGTGTCCTACCTATTTGGGACTGAGCTACCATTGTTGAATTGCGATCACAGAGCGGAGAGAAAGGAAGCCCCAGTTCAGCCTCTTTGTCACCCTGCAATAAGATGAAATAAAGAACTGAAATTGAGCTGTTTATGTTGGTTTCTCATGTAAATACATAAATAAGGCTTGGGAACCTTCCAAAACTAAGTTTGCTAAGCCTTGTGCACACTGTGTTATTTTCCCCGACAACTGCTCCTGATACCTTCAAGTGTTGACTGGCTGTGCCTTCTAAAAGCAGTAATGCTCCTAAAGTGTTAAATTCACTTGATTGATTTTTGTTTTCTTTTCTTCTGGTTTTCTGGATTTCTTTTCTTTGTCGTGGGGGCCAGATACCACTGCAGCAACCATGTGGCATTTCCCAAATGACCATTCCTGGTACTACCTCTACCAGAATGTGGTACTGGATCAGTGTTTTTCAGAGCCATTTACTGCCAAATATCCTCCTTTGTTTTAGGCATATCAAGTGATTACTGGGACGGGGTAAACCACTGTAGAATACCGCAGAAAAGGCACTGGTCTTAGATAAAACTAAGGTATGTTCCATGGTAGAGATAAGTACAACTGTATTTGATCAGGCAGAATCTTTAGGACTCTGGGGAGCTGGTACCGATACATCTCTCCATACAAATAATAGTGTAAAATTCCTTGCTGTGGCCTAAACCTTCCAGTTTTCATTAGGTCTAAATCTGGACTTAATTAGAGAGATGTGGTTCAGGAATCATTGAGAGTCCTGACATATAGCTGCTCAAATTATACAGGAAATATAAACTTCCAGTCGTGATTTCCATCGTATTGACCTTTTTGCAACTGTCTCTCACGCTAAGCTCCATATTGGAGATTTGGACTTGATGCATAGGACTTAGCCGGATACTTACCCAGAAACCCAGAAAACAATGTAGTGATTAGTACTTGGTTTAATTCAAATAGTGGTCAGTGTAAGCAACACAACTGCCATTCCAAAAAATCTCTGACCTGACCTGACTATTCCCCCAACCCAACGGCCCTCCCCACATTGCCCTGACTACCCAAGGATGTGACATGACTAATCCCACACCTGACAGCTATCCTGGCCCATCATGATTGCCCTCCCTATCAATTTTCCCCCAACACAAACATCCCCAAAACTGATAACCCCCCCGACTAACACCACACTTCCCCACCATTCACTATCTTGTTCTCCCGCATGCCTACCCACTCATCCAAATATCCACCCACTCAAACATTCCCTAATCCACTGAAAGACTTGAAAGCCTTTAAAACTCTCTTTAATATGGTGTCTAATGTGTTAAGAAAGGACATTTCACTCAGGAACAGTCTTTCTGTCTTGGAAAACTGAGGTTTTCATAGTTCTTTGGGGGAGTGCAGAGTCCATATGCGGAAAGGGGGAGCAGATGGAGATGAAGAGTTATGGTGGTAGGAAACAGCAGTGAGGGGTGCAGACCAGAAGCTGTAGATGGGACTCCAGGGTGGTGTGTTGCCTCCCTAAGTCCAGTGTCAACATTGCCACTGTATGGCTGCAGGGCTGAGTCAGAAATCATGGTTCACATTGGTTCCAACAACATCGATAGAAAAAGGGTTGAGATGTTGAAACAAGAATGTAGGGAACTAGGTAGTATATTTAAAGTAGGGCCTCAACAATTGTAACCTTTGGATTAGTCCCAGTGCCATGTACGAGTGTGTATAGGAAAAGGCAGATTGAGCAGGTGCCTGTGGCTGAAGAGTTGGTACAGGAGGGAGGGCTTTACATTGCTGGATCACTAAATCAGTTTCTGTGATGGGTTGCATCTAAACTGCAATGAGACTAGCTATTGCTGTTGGCAATTTAAACTAATTTGGCAGGGAAATGGGATATGGCGTGGAGAAACTATCGTGGGTGATGCTCATACGAATGTAAAAGAAACGTCAAGTCAGTCTGGAAGGCAGAACATACATGGTCAGCTTGGCAAAGTTGGACAGCATTTATTTTAATGCAAGGAGTCATGCGAGTAAAGCAGATGAATTGAGGGTGCTGGTTAACATATGGGAATACAACATTATTACTATCACAAATATAGTTTAGGGATGGACAGGATTAGCCGTTCATTTGCTAAGGTATAGCATATTCAGGCAAGAAAGGGATGGTCGTAAAAGAGGAGATGGTGTTGAAATATTAATCAAGGAGTCAACTATTGCAAAAGGGGATGATATCTTAGAATAATCCTTGATTGAGGCCATATTTATAGAACCCAAAGTCAAAAATTGGGCAATCACTTTGATGTGAGTGTATTATAGCCCCCAGAATAATCAGAAAGAGATATGTAGGCAAATTTCAAAGAAGTATAAAAATAATAGATTAATAATTGTAAGAGATTTCAATTTCTCCAATATTAATGGGGATAGATAGTCCAAAATACTTACAGGGGTAGAATTCTTAAAATTTATCCAGGAGAGCATTTTACACCAGCATGTAGAAAGCCTACAGAAGGTGGGCAGTATTGGATCCAGTTTTAGGGAATGAAGCTGGGAAAGTGGCACAAGTGTCAATCAGAGAGCATTTTGATAATAGTGACATAACTCAGTAAGGTGATCATGGAAAAGGACATAGATAGATCAGAAATAAAGATTCTGAATTGAGGAATGGCTGATTATAATATGTTAAAGCAGGATCTGGCCAAACTGGACTAGGAACAGCTACTTTAGGAAAATCTACATTGGAACAGTAGGAATCTTTCAAAACAGAAAAACTGAAGGTGCAGGGCCAACATGTTCCTGTAAGGCTGAAGAGTGTGACCAAAAATTCCACAGAACAATGGATATTGAGGAATGTACAGGATTGGATAAGGAAAAGGAGGGAAGTTTATGATGGATAACGAGAATTCAGAACATTGGAAGCACTAGAAGCCTACAGAATGTGCAGGGGATAACTTGCAAAAAAGAAATTTGGAAAGTGAGCAGGGGCATTAAAAACACTGGTGGGTAAAATAAAGGGAAATCCAAAAGCATCTTATAAGTAGATTAGGGCCACAAAAATAACCAAGGAAAGAGTAATGTCAATTAAGAACCCAAGTGGCAAAATGTAGGTGGAGCCAGAAGAGATAGTTGAGGTTTAGTTTAATAGTTCACATCTATATTCACTACAGATAAGAACAATATAGGTATAGAATGAGGGCTGTCCTGTGGTGCGGTGGCAGCATCCCTGCCCCTGGACTGAGAAGCCTAGGTTCGAGTCCCACCTGATCCAGAGGTGTATAATAACATCTCTGAACAGGCTGATGACAAAAATACGTTTAAAAAAAGTTTACAGGTATAGAAATTAGGTACCCTGTTGTGGCACAATGGTAGCATCCTTACCTTATACCAGGAGGCCTGGATTCAAGTCCCACCTACTCGAGAGATGTGAAACAACATCTCCGAACAGGTTGATTAGAAAAATAGGCTAAATTGAAACAAAAGCTGAGGCTGTGCAACGTGGTCTTATTACTTAACCCTTTAAAAAAAAGCTACAGAAACCGGACTGTGATGTATTTGAATAAATGATATTTGAGAGGGAGGAGGTACTAACAATTGTAGGAAGTTAAAGATTGCATAAGTCATGAGGCTCAGATGAGTTGCTTTCCAGGCTGCTGTAGGAGGTAATGTAAGAGATTTTACAGGCCCTGGCATCAATTTTCAATCCACTCTGAGTACAGGAGTGTGTGCCAAAAGCTGGAGAACAGTTAATGAGACACCATTTTTCAAGGAGAGAAGTAAGAATTAACCAGGGAAGTATAGGCCAGTCAGTCTGACATCGGTGCTTGAGACACCATTAGAAAAGTTCTAAGGAACATAATTAATCTCTAATAGGAGAGGCAAGGATTAATCAAGGATAGTCACATAGTTTTGTCAGGGGGAGATCACATTTGTTAAGTTTGAGTTTTTTAAGGAGGTGACAAGATGTGTACATGAGTATAGTGCAGTGAATGTAAGCCACATGAACTTCAGCAAGGCTTCTGACAAGGCCTTGTATGCAAGACTGGTCAAGAAGTAACAGCCCTTGAGATCCAGAGCAATTTGGCAAACTGGATGCAAAATTAACTTAACGGTAGGAGGCAGAGGGTGATTGTCAAAGGTTGTTTTCGTGACTGAAAGATTGTGTCCAGTGGCAAACTGCAAGATTTGGTCTTGTCGGTTTTTGTGCAGATTAGAGATCTAGGTATGAATGTAGGCGGTTTGATTTGTAGATGGCTCTAAAATTGGCAGTGTGGTAAATAGTGAGGTAGAAAATCTTAGACTACAGAATGATATAGGCAGGCTGATCAAATGGACAGAACAACATCAAATGGGATCTTATTCTGAAATGTATGTGATGGTGCATTTTGAGAGGAATAACAAGGCAAGAAAGTACATGACGAATGGTAGGACTCTATGGAAGTACAGAGATCAGAGGGACCTTCATGTGCATATCCATTGATCCTTGAAGGCATTAGGAAAAGTGGATAAGATGAATAAGAACACATATGGGACACTTGTTTTTACTGGTTGAGGCATAAGAGCTGACAGGTTATGATGGACCTGCATAAGACATTAGTTAGGCCACAGCTACACTTCTATGTGTAGCTCTGGTTGCTGCACTATAAGGATGTGATCGCACTCGAAATAGTGCAGAGGGATTCCCCAGGATATTGCCTGGGCTGGAAAGTTCCATAAAGACAGACTAGAAAGGCTGGAGGTGTTTTTACCTTATGGCAGAGAGAGTTTAGAAAGGATCTGATTGAGGTGTACAAAACTATGGGTAGCACAGAAAGGGAAGATTGGTAGAAATATTTCTCATAGTAGAGTGATTAATAACTGCAGGGCACAGACTTAAGGTAAAGGGCAGGAGGTTTTATGGGGATGTAATAAAGAATTTTTCACCCAGTGGATATCTGGAACTCTCTGCTGGAAAGGGTGATTGAGGCAGGAACCATCGTAACCTTTAATTGTTTAGATGATCATTTCAAGCCACAGCACACAAGGATCCCGAACAATTGCTAGAAAACAGGTTGAGAATAGACAGGTGCCTGATCACTGGTGGGGACTCAATGGGCTGATGGGCCTGTTTCCATGCTGTGAACTCTATTACTCGACAGGGGCTTGACCTTCTCTTCTTCCAACTTCTCCTACACTTGTCAGTCTTCTGTGAGGATGCCTGTGCTGACCCATCACTATACAAATATAAACATTACTCTCATTAACATTAAAGTCTGAGTGTTAGTCAGTCTACTGTTCTTTTTCACTCTGTGCAGAATAAAGTTATTACCTGTCTGAAGAATTCCTCCAACAATGCCATGGTCCAACGATGATGCATCTCCCAGGCTTTTGTTGGATGGCTGATATCAGCTGTGTGCAGCAACAAGGAAAAGGCTTTTGGTTTATCAATCCTGCAAATCAAGATAGCATTGATAGAAATGACCAGTCTGAGGCAGATGCAAAGAGAGTGTCATCTTCTAGATTTTAATAAATCTAAAAGATTAAAAGATCTAAAAAGTAAAAGATTATTGTCCATTTAATTATGTCACATACATTGGTAATCAATTATTATTACTTGGTGATGTGAACATACATAAGGAATTCAGTCAGCCGAAATGACAACTGTCTCTGTTTTAAATCCTGTTACAGCTCCCACTGCACTTAGCTTTGTATCAGAGCATAATTCACCCACAGTCGGCACTTCTTTGGTATTTGTGATTTTCTTTATCTTTTGTACATAAAATATCTCAGTTTACATTAAAAACAGGTTGCAAAATCCTGATACTCTGCTTTGCAAACATACATTGGCCAGATTTTGCTGACAGGAATCACGGTGAGGCTAATACATACGTAAATAGCACAGCACCTTCAGATGAGGAGCTTTATCACACAAACATCCAAACGTGGTGTCCATGTCGCAGTGCTCCACAAATTATATTCACAACAAAAGCATCTTGCTGTCTGCCTCACTATTGAAATGCATTGAATGGTGCAAAGTTACTTCATTTGTCCAGTATGTACAAATTAAACTTTACAGATGGGGTAATTCTTGTTATTTAAAAGCAAGAAATGTTTAATTATGTCATAGAAGTAGTGACTGCCAAACAACATCTTTGGTAGTGAAAATTAACTATTCTCAGTGTAGAGTGCCATTCCTTCAAATCTCATTGTTGGACAGTTTAAAAACATAGAATTAAAAGCTTTGCTGCTATTGCACATTGCATTTATGTCTCATTTTATCTCTCCTTCAATCAATCTTACTCTCCCTTTATTTCTCTTCTCTATTTGATTTGACATTAAATTCAGACACTAATTGATTATGAATTCTCAGTCCTTCCTCAATCATTCATTCTGATTACTTAAAGAGATACACAGTTGGCTGTCCTACTTACGCTGGTCTCACAAGGCCAGTTTCCTTTGTTAAAGTGTTGCCAGTTCCCACTTTTGCAGCTTCATATTGAGAGTTGCAGCCTGCTTTGCCAATTATAGCCAGTAACAGAGATTGCTCAATGTCCTGCTACAGCACAATGTGTTATGTTATATGTGTACATGTTAGACCAAGTTCAGAAATATGAAGGTCCTTGCTTAAAGTAAAATGTTACGGTATTTTTAAATGTTGTTCACAATTAGTCAAAGAGATTAGGAATCTGCTTGGGCATATTGCCAAATAATGAATATTCATGTCTGGAATCAACAACATTCGATCTTAATGTAATCAACAACATGCACCTTTTACTAATGGATGACGGTAAAGAGTAAATTCCAAGGGTCAAGGTCAGTAAATGCATCTTCAAATGCCAAGTCCCAGCACAACCCCATCACTCACCTCCTCCAATCTCACTCAATCCTAAAATTCCTAACTTCACCTCATATTCTCACACATTTCCCAAATTGGCTGTTCAATTTTCACAGCTCAATTAATATTTGGGCAACAAAATCCTCCAATATCAGCACTCTATAGTTATTGTAAATCTCTTTGATTTCTCTTCAGATTTTCTTATCTCTCTCTTTCTCTGTTAGAAAGCCTCTAAGTTATGCCCAGTAACATGACTGTCCTCCATTTGTCCCACCACTCTAACAAAATAGATGTTGTCTCTTTGCTCCTTCCCTATGGGCTGACCTTTATGGGGCAGGAGGTTCACTGCTCACACACCTGATGAAATGTTCCTCAGTAGGAGGAAATACCACCCTCTAGAGGTGCCCCGAAGAATCTGACTGCAGTAGGCACTGCTGGGACTGTGACAAGGCCCATGGGTAGAAAGGACATGGCTCGTAGAGAGAGGTAAGTCTTGGGTTTTGGACAGTGAGGGATCGTGGAACATAGAAACTGGCGAGATGGCAAAGTTGGTTTTGAAGGCCAGATGGGGAGACATAAAGGCTGCAGGGGGAGAAAACATCACACAGGATCCCTGCCTGCCCCTCCCCAACCCAAAACGATGTACCCACCTTTCCTATCTGCCTAGCTTTTTTCTTTATTTCCCCACTACACCTTAGCAGCAGTCATTCACTCTTGCACACCAACGACTACATGATGTATTGCACAGTGCAGGCAGGTTGAGAGACTTAATTGGGTATTGGTTACTTCTGAATAGCTGGCTGTCTACTTCACTTGACAGTGGTTCTGAATCCAGGCTCTAACTTGCACAAGAAGGGTCCAGACCCGAAACGTCAGCTTTCCTGCTCCTCTGATGCTGCTTGGCCTGCTGTGTTCATCCAGCTCCACACCTTGTTATCTCAGATTCTCCAGCATCGACAGTTCCTACGGTCTCTAACTTGCAGCACCCACATTGTGGTGAATGTGCAGTTAATGGCAAACTGCAAAAATGCAATCCTCATAATGCTGCAAGCCCATTCTGCTTGCTTTTCTCTGGCAAAGCAAATTAGTTATATTCAGCTCCTCTTAAAATACAGTGCCTCAATGACACATTATCCGACTATACAGAATACAGAGAGAAAAGAAAACTTCAGTAATGCTGCAAATCAAGAGGTGAAAAGGAGAGAAATGTAATGAAATTGTAAGTACTAGCATTGGAGATTATCCAAAGAAGATTCATTAGATTAATTGCGGGTATGGAGGGACTTTTTTTGAGGAGAGGTTGAGCAGGTTGTGTTCTTTGGAGTTTAGAAGAATGAGAGAAGATCTAATTGAAAAGTACAAGATACTGAGGGGGCTTGACAGGGTAGATGCTGAGAGATTGTTTCCCTTAATGGGAGTTTCTAGGATCAGAGGGCACAATCTCAGAGTTAGGAGTCGCCTGTTTAAGGCAAAAAAAAGGAGATTCTTTTTTCTCTCAGAGGGTAGTGAATCTGTGGAATTCTTTACTGCAAATGATTGTCAAGGCTGGGTCATTAATTATATTCAAGGCTGAGAAAGACAAATTTATAATCATTAAGGGAATCAAGGGTCATGGGGATAAGGCAGGAAAGGGTCTGAGGATTATCAGATCAGATCAGCCAGGATATCATTGAATGGCAGAGTGTATTCAATGGGCCAAATGGCCTACTTTGTCTCCAACAGATTATGGATTTATGAGCCAAATGGCACTGAGCAACCTGATGGAGGGACAAGTGTAATTGTCAATGCTAATGTGGTAGCAGATGCATTGGTGTTAACTTGCAAAAATTCCCTCTTTTCAAGAAAGATTCCACTGCACTGGAAAGTAGTAAATTTGACCACTCTGTTCAAGAAGAACGGGAGACAAACAGCTTCATGTCTGTCATGGGGACAGTGTTAAAATCGATCATCATACAGATTACATCTGCATAATTGAAAATCAATCAAAGTAATCAGGAAGAGTTTGCATGGCTTCACCAAAGGGCTATCATCTTTAATCAATTTATTGGAAATCTTTGCAGGAGTAAAATGAACTGTGAATAAAGTGACACGTTGAAGATGATTATGGAAAATAAAGTGGTGTATTGAGTGATATATTAGCATGGATAGAAGTTTGACACTGGCAGAAAACTGATGTATAAAGGAGACGTGGTCATTTGGTGGTAATATCATTAGGCTAGCAGTGTGGAAGTCCACTTAATGTTCTGGGAACATGGGTTCAAATCCCACCATGGTGGAATGGTGAAATTTGATTTCAATAAAATCTGAAATAAAGAGGTGATTTCATGGTCACACATCACCATCAATTGTCATAAAACCCCATCTGGTTCACTAACCTCCATTGGCATACATATGACTCCAGATTCACAGCATTGTGGTTGACTCTTAACTGCCCTATGGGCAATTAGGAATGGTCAATAAATACTGGCCCAACCAATGATAACCCACATCATGTGAAAGACTAAAAGTAAAGATTCCCTGTCTGATTGGCAAATTGACATGTGCAGTTCTGCAGGGCTCTGTGTTGGTGGGTTGTTGGGGGGGCGTGCTTTGATGTAAATCTAAGTGTGGAGCCAGGTCAGCATTTACTGCCCATGTCTAGTTGACCTTGAGAAAGTGGTGGTGAGCTGCCTTCTTAAACTGCTGCAGTACATGTGCTGTAGGTAGACCTACAAAGCCTTTAGGGAGGGAGTTCCAGGATTGTGACCCAGCAACAGTGAAGGAATGGCAATATATTTCCAAGTCAGGATGGTGGTAGTGTGCCCATGTATCTGCTGCTCTTGTCCTTCTAGATGGAAGTGGCCATGGGTTGGGATCAGCGATGCTCGGTAGCATCAGTGAGTACGATCATAAATTTGCCAAATTTACGACAGTACACACTGCTGCCACCGAGCATCACTGATGGAGTCACTGAACATATGTGGATATGGTGCCATTCAAGCAGGTTGCTTTGTCCTGCTTAGAGTCAAACTTCTAGTGTTATTGGAGCTGCAATCATCCAGGCGAGTAGACAGTATTCCATCACATTCATAGTCATAGAGTCATGCAGCATGAAAACAGACCTTTCAGTTCAACTAGTCCATGCCGACAAGTTCCCAACCAAACTAAGTTCCCACTTGCCTGTTTTTAGTCTATATTCCTCAAACCTTTCTTATTCATGAACTTATCCAAATGTCTTTTAAATGTTGTAACTGCACCTGCATCCACCACTTCCTCTGGAAGTTCATTCCAAATCCAAAAAATTACACTCATGTCCTTTTTAAATCTTTCTCCTCAAACCTTAAAAATATGCCCCCTAGTTTTGAACTCCCCAACCCTATGGAAATGACCCTTGCTATTCACCTTGTCTATGCCCCTCATGATTTTATAAACCTCAAAAGATCACACCTCTACCTCCTACGCTCCAGTGAAACAAAGACCCAGCCTATCCAGCCCATCTTTATAATGCAATCCTTCCATTCTTGGAAATATCCTGGTAAATTTTTTTCTGAATTCTCTCCAATTTAATAATATTCTTCTAATAGCAGGGCGACCAGAACTGTACACAGTACTCCACAAGAGACCTCACCCATGTCCTATACAACCTTAGCATCACATTCCAACTCCTATACTCAAAGGTGTGAGCAATGAAGGCAAGCGTGCTAAATGCCTTCTTAACTACCTTGTCTACCTGTGATGCAAATTTCAAAGAATTATTTATCTGAATCCCTAGGTCTCTCTGTTCTACAATACAACCAGGGCCCTACCATTAATTGTATAAGTCCTGTCCTTCATCTGACTTATGGCTTGTAAATGGACTCAGGAGGTGAGTTACATGGTACAGTATTCCTATCCTCTGACCTGCTACTGTGTTTATGTAGTGAGTCCAGTTCAGTTTCTGGTCAATGGTAACTCCCTGGATGTTGACAGTGGGGGAATTCAGTGATGGTAACACCACTAAGTGTCGAGGGGCAGTAGTTAGATTGTCTCTTACTATTGATGGTCATTGCCTGGCATTTGTGTCGTGAGAATGTTACTTACCAGTTTTCAGCCCAAGCCTGGATATTGTCCAGATCTTTTTACATTTGAACATGGACTGCTTCAGCACCTGAAGAACGGCAAATGGTGCCTAACGTTGTGCAATCATCATTTCTGATATCATGATGGAGGGAAGGTCATTGATGTTGCAGTTGAAGGTGGTTGGGCCTTACCCTGAGGAACTCCTGCAGAGGTGTCCTAGAGAAGAGATGACTGACCTCCAATAACCACAACCTGCTTTCTATATGCCAGGTATGATTCTAAACACTGGAGAACGTGTTCCCTGATTCCCATTGACTCGATTTTTGCTAGGGCTCATTGATTCCACACTTGGTCAAATCTGGCCTTGACATTGAGGACAGTCACTCTCACCTCACCTCTGGAATTCAGTTCTTAAGTCTATGTTTGAACCAAGGCTGTAATGAGGTCAGGATCTTAGTGACCCTGGCAGAACCTAAACAGGGCGTCATTGAGCAGGTTATTGCTGATCAGACGCTGCTTGATAGCACTGTCAATGACACTTTCCATCTTCATGATGATTGAGAATAGAGGGATGGGGCAGTAAAAGGCCAGATTGGATTTGCCCTTCTTTGTGTACAGGACACACCTTGGCACTTTGTTGGGTAGATGTAGTTATGTTGGAGCAGCATGGCTGGGGTTAGCAGCAAGTTCTGGAACATGTCAGGGTCCATAATTTTAGCAGTATCTAGTGCTTCCAACCACTTCTTGATATCCAATCTAACATTCCAAACAATACAATTCCTATTTGAATGCCTTGCATGAATCTGCCCTCTACACTCAAACAGAGTGCATTCTGGATTCTAACCAATCACTGAACCAAGAAGGTTTTCCTCATGTCTCCATTGCTTCTTTTGCCAGTTGCCTTAAACATTGATTTTACTGCATAAAAACAGGCCATTCAGCACAACAGCTCTCTGCTTATATTATGTTCCACTTCATTGAAACTTTTATTCCTTTCTTCGTCAATACATTTAGCTGGCTTCTCCTTAAATGCATCTATACTATTACTTTAATTAAGTTAAATAGTAAACAGCGTTTTCTTCATTTATATTATATAAAAGCAGAAAGTGCTGGAGAAGTTCTGGGGGTAAGGCAGCATCTGAACATTAACTCTATTCCTCTTTTCACAGATGCTGCCAGACCTGCTGGGTTTCTCCAGCACTTTCAGTTTTTATTTCACTTCTCCAGCATCTGCAGTTCTTTATTTTCATTGGCATGTGTTATTTATTTAAATGGATGAAAAAAAAAATGTTGCCATGGCCTGGTCTTTGCTATAAAATTAGGGTTGGATACCTTTCCGTGAAAGCCTACAACATCTCACTGACAGTGATAAGATGTTAAGTTTAAGTGTTCCTGTCAGGTTTCCTGCATCATTCACCAATGATCACTAAAACTTCCTGAAGAGTTGTTAAAACTTCTTGTTTTTTTTTTATTTTCAGCAGTATTAACTATTTATGATGTATGACAAATCCTATTCAGTTTTAACATGAACTATGAATAAACAAATATACTGCAGTTAATGAGCTAGACACAAATGACTTTTCATCAGATTCTTTTTATCTTTATTCATTAGCGGGATGAGGACGTCGCTGGCCAGGCAGCATTTATTGCCCATCCCTAATTGCCCAGAGGGCAGTTAAGAGTCAACTACATTGCTGTGGGTCAGGAGTCACATGTAGGCCAGACCAGGTGAGGATGGCAGTTTCCTTCCCTAAAGGACATGAGTCATCCAGATGGGTTTTTCCAACAATTGCCAATGGATTCATGGTCATTATTAGATACTTAATTCCAGATACTTTATTGAATTCAAATTCCACCATCGATAATACCACTAGGACACGACATCCTCTATTTTGATGGTTAAAAGAGACAACTACTATCAAATGATGACTCACCCCTCAGGTTGCTGCAATGCATTCTTCATAGCTTTCACTTGTTGAAAGTGGCAAGACATGTCAGTTGCCAACACCATCTCAATTACCAAGGCTCGCAGTTCCCTTTGGAGAATAAAAGACAAATCATGAGATTTTGCTCACAAATTCAATAAAAGAAGCTAATTGCTTTGACATTTCAAAAATCTTTGCGAGCAACATTTCCCTCAAAAGGTCAACTTTTTCTCTGCAAAAGTCACTGTGTTTTCATCTCAAATACCATACATATTCGAAGTAATGAAATAAGAGATTAACCTCAGTGTATAAACCAAACGTTGTTACAAGATGAATGACGAGGTGTTTTTCAATTACAGAGACAGGTTCTCAATTGATTTTGCCTTCAAAAACATTTGCTAAATAATCACACAGTGCTTAAGTACATCTTACTGAATTTGAAACAATTCCATGAGCAGATCTTAAGATTTCAATTTTTCACAATTCTGCATGACCTTAAGTCTGTTTCATAATTAGCAGTGGTTCAACATTATTGAAAGGAATCCCATCAATGCAACTTAAAACGAGAGAAAAAAAAACATCTGCTACTCACTGAGTAGTACTTCTGATACTATTCCTTCTCCATGAACCAATAGCACTTTGCCCTAAACCCACACACCAAAACTCAGGCTGTAAATGACTTCAACCCAACGCAAGTTTACACAGCCAGTGAACTGGCATATGTCCAAATTCCCTGCATGACTGAACACAATATAAACAGATAATCAACCAACTCTGGGATAACAAGAACTGCAGATGCTGGAGTCAGAGATAACACAGCGTGGAGCTAGAGGAACACAGCAGGCCAGGCAGCATTAGAGGAGCAGGAAAGTTGACATTTTCGGTCAGGACCTTTCAGAAAATTTTCTTTGGATGGAGCATAATTGTGGACACAGAGGTGGTTTGATGTGTGTATACTTCAATGCTATAAGTATCAGAAATAAGGCAGATGAACTTAGAGCATGGGTCAGTTCTTGGAACTACGATGTTGTGGCCAATACAGAAACTTGGGTAACTCAGGGACAGGAATTGTTGTTGGAAGTTCCGGGATTTAGATGCTTTAAAAGAAATTGGGAGAGTGATAAAAGAGGTGGGGGAAAGGCATTGGTAGTCAGGGCTAGTATAGCAGCTACTGAAAGGCAGTTCGAGAATGATATGTCTACAGAGTCAGTTTGGGTTGAGGTCAGGAACAAGAAAGGAGCAGTCACTTTGTTGGGGGTTTTTTCACCCCCGAATAGTTGCAGAGAAGTGGAGGAGCGGATTGGGAGGCAGATACTGGAAAGGTGCAGAAGTCACAGGGTTGTAGTCATGGGTGACTTCAACTTTCCAACTATTGATTGGAAACATTTTAGTTGTAATAGTTTATATGGAGCAGATTTTGTCCAGTGCGTTCAGGAAGGATTCCTGACACAGTATGTAGATAGACCAACACGAGGAGAGGCCACTTTGGATTTGGTGCTTGGCAACGAACTGGGCCAAGTGTTGGACCTGTTGGTAGGAGAGCATTTTGGCGGTAGTGGTCACAACTCTGTTACTTTTATGATAGTCATGGAAAAGGATCGGTACATACAGCAGGGTAAGGTTTACAATTGGGGGAAGGGTAATTACAATTCTGTTAGGCAAGAACTGAGTAACATAAAATGGGAACAGATGCTGTCAGGGAAGAGCACTATTGAAATCTGGAGATTGTTTAAGGAATGCCTACTGCGTGTGCTCGATATGTTTGTCCCTAGCAGGCAGGGAACATGCGGTCGAGTGAGGGAGCCTCGGTTCTCAAGAGAGGTTGAATGACGAGTTAAAAGGAAGAAGGATGCTTATATAAGGTTTAGGAAACAAGGATCGGAAAAGGCTCTAGAGGGATACAAGTTATCCAGGAAGGAGCTGAAGAAAGGGCTTAGGAGAGCTATAAGGGGGCATGAGAAAATGTTGGCAGATAGGATCAAGGAAAACCCCAAGGCTTTTTACACATACGTGAGGAATAAGAGAATGACCAGAGAAAGGATAGGGCCGATCAAGGATTGTAAAGGGAATTTGTGCATAGAGCCTAAAGACATAGGAGATGTGCTTAATGAATACTTTTCTTCGGTATTCACAACTGAGAGGGACCTAGTTGTAGGGGAGGACTGTGTGAAGCAGGCTGGTAGGCTAGAGGAGGACGTTGTTAGTAAGGAAGATGTACTAGGAATTTTGACAAACTTAAAGATAGGTAAGTCCCCTGGGCCTGATGGGATTTAGCCAAGGATTCTATGGGAAGCGAGGGAAGAGATCGCAGGGCCTTTGGCGATGACCTTTTCAACCTTACTGTCCACGGGTATAATGCCGGAAGATTGGAGAGTGGCAAACGTCATTCCCTTGTTCAAAAAAGGGAATAGGGATAACCCCGGAAATTACAGGCCATGTTAGTCTTACTTCAGTGGTGGGCAAATTATTGGAAAGGGCTCTGAGAGATAGGATTTATGATCACTTGGAAAGGCACAGTTTGATTCGGGATAGTCAGCATGGATTTGTGAGGGGTAGACCATGCCTCACAAACCTTACCTAATTCTTTGAAGAGGTGACCAAACACATGGATGAAGTTAGAGCAATGGATGTGATATAGATGGATTTAAGTAAGGCGTTTGATAAGGTTCCCCATGGTGAGCTCATGCAGAAGGTAAGGAGGCATGGGATAGGGGGAAATGTGGTGGATTGGATTTAGAATTGGCTGACCCTTAGAAGACAAATTGTGGTCGTGGACGGAAAATATTCAACATGGTGCTCAGTTACGAGTGGTGTACCACAAGGGTCTGTTCTGGGACCTCTTCTATTTGTGATTTTTGTGAATGATTTGGATGTAGGAGTGGAAGGGTGGATTAGTAAGTTCACAGATGATACAAAGATGGGTCGAGTTGTGGATAGTGCAGAGGGCTGTTCTAGGTTACAAAACGACATTGATAGGATGCAGAGCTGGGCTGAGAAGTGGCAGATGGAATTTAACCCTGAAAAGTGTGAGGTGATTCATTTTGGAAGGACAAACTTGAAAGAAGAATACAGGTTAACAGAAAGATCCTTGGCAGTGTGGAGGAGTAGAGGGATCTTGGGGTTCATGTTCACAGTTCCCTGAGAGCTGCCACCCAGGTGGATAGAGTTGTTAAGAAGGCGTATGGTGTGTTAGCTTTCATTAATAGAGGGATTGAGTTCAAGAGCCGTGAAGTTATGCTCCAGCTATTCAAAAGCCTGGTTCGGCCACATCTGGAGTATTGTGTCCAGCTCTGGTCACCTCATTACAGGAAAGATGTGGAAGCGTTGGAAAAAGTGCAGAGGAGATTTACCAGGATGTTGGAATGGAGGGAAGGTCTTACAAGGAAAGGTGTTTCTCTTTAGAACGATGAAGGATGAGAGGTGACTTGATGGAGGTGTACAAAATGATCAGAGGTATAGATAGAGTGGACAGCCAGAGACTTTTTCCTCGGGTGGAGGTAGCTATTACGAGGGGGCATAGTTTTAAAGTGAGTGGAGGTAATATGGGTGAGACATCAGAGGTAGGTTCTTTACTCAGAGAGTGGTCAGGGCGTGGAATGCATTGCCGGAGAGGGTCGTGGAGTCAGCCTCATTAGGGGCATTTAATTGGCTATTAGATAGGCATATGGATGATAGTATAAGGTAGGGGTGGAGGTTGGATAGACTTTAGGATTAGGGTAAAAGTTCGGCACAACATAGTGCTGTACTGTTCAATTTTCTATGTTCTATGTTCTATATCAGGTGAAATATTCAAGCAAGAAACATATCTAATACAATAGTTTGAAGGGGTTAGTGAAGAGCGAAATGAGACTGGTGAGAATAGAATTTGAGAATAAATATTTGAGAATAAGCATGACTGAAATGCATAATGCCAAATATCACAGCTAATATTTCACACCCTGTATTAGAATAATTGACTTGTGAAGATGACAGGGTTTTTGAAACAAATTGGTTTTTCCTCTTGTAAAAGACATGCACCCAGGCCTTTCTCAATGGATCCAGTTCAATAACCATGACTTTTCTGCAGTCATGGTATTGTAGTAAACAAACTCTTGCTGGCAGAACCTGCTTGAGAAAATCAACCATGGACTGATGATAACAAGGTGTAGAGCTGGATGAACACAGCAGGCCAAGCAGCATCAGAGGAGCAGGAAAGCTGATGTTTCGGGCCTAGACCCTTCTTCGGAAAATTGGATTGATGGTTGTTTTCCACATACTGAGGATGTCTTTCTTGAGCAAATCTCTCGGCAAAGCTATCTTACCTGAGAAGTTGGGAACATATGGCAAGAAGAAATTTAAAAATCAGAGGCAACATCCATTCTTGAATCAGGATGGATTCCATGGGTAGAGTAAATTGACCCAAAGAATTATCTGGTTGACACATTGTATTCTTCAATAGGTGAAGGTTGTGTCATGCTCTGCCTTTGTCTTCCCTATGACCACAATATCATCAGTTATACAAATACAACCTAGTATATTCCAAAAAATCCTAACCATGTGCTGCAGGAGTAAATAGACCTTGGCTTACTTGTAACCAAATGGTAACCACTGGAAACAGTACAGTCCGAAAAACTATCCTAAATGTCATCTTCTCTTGGGATTCCTCTGATCAATGGACGGTCTGGTATACAACCTTCACACATAACTTTGAAAGTAATCTTGTCCTAGATAATTTAGGATATCGTTCTTTCAGGATTGGTATTTTGTGTTGACACCTTTTAAGTGAAAGGTTGGGCACCTTGGATCGAGTTTCTCTTACAGTGCTATGGAACTGCTCCAGTCTGGATGGTGGTCAACTTTCTAAACAATTCCCAGTTTGCTGTCGGGAAATGACTGGGGATTAGTTCAGAGATAGTAGGAACTGCAGATGCTGGAGAATCCGAGACAACAAGGTGCAGGGCTGGATGAACACAGCAGGCCAAGCAGCATCATAGGAGCAGAGAGGCTGACGTTTCGGGCCTAGACCCTTCATCAGAAAAGGGGGAGGGGAAGGGGGTTTTGAAATAAATAGGGAGAGAGTGGGAGGCGGATAGAAGAGGGATAGAGGAGAGGATAGGTGGAGAGGAAACAAA